CATGACAAGGGCATCAACCGCCCCTTCATGCTTCACCTTAACCCCCCTTTGAATCTCTTTGGAGTTGAGTGCAACCTTGACTTTGACCAAGCAAGAGTCTCTTTCCCATACAAAAAGGTGTTCACAAAATGCTCAAACCTAGAAGGTAATGAGCTTAGCAAAATAATTGCTTGATCTTCATCCTCAATCTTCACTCCCATGCTTTTCAAATCTAAGATAATCGGATTGAATTCATCCAAGTGCTTAGAATCATCCATTTGCAAGATATACAACTTCTTGAGGTAAAGCCTATTGGCTGGAGAGCTTTGAGACATAGAGATCCTAATTTTTCCTAAATCTCTATAGCCGTTCTTTCATTATCAACCTCCCTTAGAACTTCATCTCTTAGGCACACAAGGATTGCACTATGTGCCATATTAAGCACATCCCTGTGCGATCTTTATTATATTCTTAAGATCTCTTCCTCTGATAGGGCTGCATCAAGACCTTGATGGACTAAAAGAGCTTTCATCTTCAACCTCCATAGACTAAAATTATTTAGAGTTGTGAATTTCTCAATTTCAAGCTTAACCATGGATATCATTCCTTTAAAAATGTTGTTGTCCACAGAAAAACAGTCTAGAAAAGGCTATACACCACATGTTGTCCACAAAAACTGCGGTCACATGCCTTCCACCTGTTGTTTTCAATGAACAACCAAAGAAAAGTCTTCCCCGCCGGTTGCCTCTTCTCCTCCAACCGCTGTCCACAAAGAACAACCCAGAAAAAGTCTTCCCCGCCGGTTGCCTCTTCTCCTCCGCTTGATGTCCACAAAGAACATCACAGGAAAAGTCTTCACCATCAGTTGCCTCTTCTCCTCCCGCTTTCCATGAAGAACAACCCAAGAAAAGTCTTCTCCACCGGTTGCCTCTTCTCCTCCACCTATTGCCCCCAAAGAATAGCCAAGGAAAAGTCTTCCTTGCCGGCTGCCTCTACTCCTCACATGTTGTCCACAAAGAACAGCCCAAGAAAAGTTCCCCGTCGGTTGCCTCTTCTCCTCCATGTGTTGTCCACAAAGAATAGCCTAAGAAAAGTCTTCCCTTCCTGTTGCCTCTTCTCATACTGATGTAAAACGTAAATGTCATTTACTTGCCTAGGTGGCAAGATTAATTAAATCCCAAATCAATTTGGGGAGAGAGAATGGAAATCTGAAATTAAATTTCAGATTAAGTGGAATTGGCGGGATGAATTTGAATTTAAATTCAAATTTAATGGGGAGAATTAAATTGGATGAGAGGGAATTGTGGGAGGCTTAATGAGGGGGGCTATTAATGAGATAGGAGAGAGATTATGCTCAATGAGGGGGTCGGCCAAGCATGGAGGGGAAGAGAGAAGTAATGTTAATTAAGTGGGGCCCATGGAGAGTAAATAAATTAATTAAATATGAATTATAATTTCAGATTTAATTATATCTTAAGTAACTTCCCCAAATAGATTTAATATGAGAGGGAAACGAATTCAAATTTTAAATATCTCTAAATGTCATTAATTGCCTTGCCTTAAGAGGGATTCTTAATTAGGCAATTTATTAAAACACCATGATTTGGAATTCACGAGCTTGGGCAAACGGGGTGGCTGCCCGTGGAGAGCACCAGGCCGGCGGCCCAAGGCCTAGAGGGTGGGCTGGCCGGCGGGAGGAGGCAGCCAGGTGGCCGGCGGCTCAGAGCTAGACGGCGGCAATTGCAAGGGGAGGAAAGAGGGAAAATTCAAGGGATTCAAACGACTACGAATTTACTAACCTCAAATATCTCCCACCCGGATTTCCACAAAAATAACTTCGGCGAACTCTAGAACTCACAAAAAGATCTACAAGCGCTACTTTCTCAAGAACTCACAAAGAGATCTTGGGAATCTCGGAACTCATAAAGAGATCCTTCCACTTCCTCAAGAACTCACAAAGAGATCTTGGGAATCTCAGAACTCACAAAGAGATCCTTCTCCGCTCATGAACTCACTAAGAGATCAAACAAGTAGAATAAAATTTCATTAACAATTCATCATCCTATTACACAAAAAAGGGCATCTATATACAGGCCTAAGAAATTAAAACAAGACACATATGCCTCTAAGGCTTACATAGGACGACCCTCTTAAGTGAAGGTAAAAACGGAAAATTTATAATAAAAATTTAAAAAATTACAAATAAAATATAAGATAACGTGGGACGATGATAGTCGTTGATCTTCAGCTCCTCGGATAGCCATGGACGGTTGGATGTCCGCATCAGGTATACTCCAATGCATCCCATTTGGAATATTTTTTGTAAACATGTCATAACCAATTAAAGAATATGGACTCATTACTCATCCTCTTGATGTAATATTGCTGTTAAAACTATCTTTAATACTAGTCAGTGCTTCATTATACATTTTTATTCCTTAAATACCCATGAATTATCATAGTACTTAATCATATGCCATTACAAGATTCTTTCTATATTCTAACTAGGGGTGAGAGGAATTACTGTAGGTAGAAGAAGCTTCCATTATACAATGACTTCCTTCAATCTCGGGTAGAATGCAAGGACAGCGAATCATCTTTTAGAAGATGAGATATGAAACTAGAGTTTCGGGTTCCCTGAGGGAAGATGGTTGACATATAAGTGAGTTTGATCAAGTTTGGCCGTGGGGCTCAACATAAGAAAAAGGAAGTTTGCTTAAATGCAATTGGTGCAGTGCGACACTGTAGAATGTTGTGGGAAATTGCAGAGTATTGTGTCGTAAATTTGTACTCCAGGCACTAATATATGACAAATTAAAGCACGTTTTTGCAGCTGCTTCATTTTATAAACACATATTACAGATTTTTAGCATTATTGCACTCCTGAATAAGATGGCCTATTATTTTGTTGGATGATGCTTTAATGAGCTTACTTTGATCATGGTATTTCCTTTTCTTCATGGGCCTCTGAATAGAAGGATATATTTTTTTACATTGTTTAATTCAAATGACCTGATTTTTGCAGATGCAACTAACCCTTGTTTTTTTTTCTTCTGGTACTTGGCAATGTTCACCAAATAGGTTTTTGTAATTATGTGAACAATTCAAATGCAACCTCGCTTATATATTCTATCTCTCTCATAGGCAACCAAGAGGCATTTAACACAGCGGATTGAGGGCCTAGATGGAAAATTGGATGAACAGAAATTGATGTCAAAAGATATAAGAGATGAGGTTATGTCCTATCCGACTATTAATCATAATACGAGATTTATATTTACCGCATATCTGAATTTTGGATAGAATCCACTTGTAAACTTATTTTTATTGTGTTGTACTTTTACATATCTTGACTGCTTTTGTTGCAATCTTTCTTTGTACTTTATTCATGATCAATGCTGTTCTTCTAAGCAGGTTACACAGGTTCGTGGAAAGCTTGAGAACATTGGCTTTGACTTGAGCTCTATCCAACAAATTGTTTACAGTATGGTGAGCAATTTTGTTTTTGAAATCATTGTGTGGTTTATTTTCTCAATTTCATATACATTTTCAGTATCAGTTTATATTCCTTTTCTCCTTTTTTTCATGCAGGATGGGAAGATGAATACAATTGAAAGGAAGCAGGTATCTTTTTATACAAACGTTTTTTTTTCAAATCACCAATTGATGACTCACACAACCCCCACTCTTAAAAAGAAGAAAAAGAAAACATGATCATCGTTGCTGTTGAGATAATATATAAAGTATTGCAGTCTGCCAGTCATCTTTATTTTTAAGTTATTTTTCTATAATTATGATTGCAACAAAATATAGTTTTCCCACTCGATTTACTGAATTTGGATTGGCCAAGTTAGGATTATAGCAAGATGCACTTTGTTAAGATGTATGGATGTGGAATGTTTATAATGATAGTTGATGGTATTCATATATCTGAAGGTTGTTTAATTATTATTTTTTCTCTAAAACCTTTACCTTTTTAGAGTTTTTTTTTGAATTCTGACAGTATTTAATTATTTACTTATGCTTGTAAGTTTAAATAAAAAGATGAAGGGGATGGTTGATTATAAATGGATGGGGCTGCTGAAATTATATATTAATATTATGGGCATGAAATACTTCTAAGGTGATTATCGATTAGTAAATACTCACAGTTACTATCTTATATGGTAAACTTATTAGATACATATAAACAACTCTAGTAATGACACCCAAGTGCTTCTGTTTATAATAATATCATTCAAAATCTTGAAGAGATACTAAAAATATCAGTTTTCATTCTCAGTAATTTGTCTCATTCTTAATTTTTTAGTTCTATCACTCTCAAATACATCAGTGAGTTAATTCACCTAGAAGCTTAGCATCAGTTTTATAAAAAGAAACACTTTGTTGTTATATATGTAAGCCTCCTTTAATTTAATTAGGTTTGTTTTAGTAACGTGATCATAAGTATACAGAAAAATTTAGTCAGATTTATTAAAATATACAGTTTCTCCTCACCACCACCACCCTCATCATCATGATAATCAGCATCATTTCTATTATTTTCTTTGTTTTTCTTGTTGTTAATGCTAGATTTGTTAAATCTTTCAAGAGAATTTTAAATTTCTTAGCTTAAATTAGATTTTGTGTTAGCTTTTCTGACTATCACAAAAATTTTCCCATATTATTAATGCTTCTCCTTATTGCTGTACATTTCCAAATGTTTGCACTGTCAATTTTCTTATTTGTTGCTGAACACTCAGTTCATATAACATTCCTGATGTCAATGCTGTTTTATAGAAAATTTCAACTGGCCACCTTAGCACTTTTAACATTCTTCACCTATGATACACAGACACATATATGGTGGCACGGATACAATACAGAACAGATACGAGACATGTTAATCATCAAAAATATAGGACATATACATGGGTTATATGATAGTGTATAAAAATTAAATAAGTTGAATATTAAGAATAATTGAGAAATAATATGTCATTTAATAAGGATATATGCTTAAAATTATTAAACATAGGATGTCCTGTCAGACATCGAGAGAGGAGACGACAATGTTGTCGAGAGTCGGGCATTAATGTTGTGCAATGGGCATTGGGCTTTGATGTTGAGACAACATCGACCCTTGATGTCGATACAACATCTTCCCTTGATGACGAGATGACCTCGGTCGTCGATGTTTAGATGAGTTGGACAAAGATGGGTCGTCGAGACTATGAGGGGCTTATTTTTTTTTTTTAAATAGCGGGGGTGTGATTATTGGTGTAGAAATTGGTGGCGTTGAGAGTTAACGTCAAGATATCTTCATACTTTAATGTTAATATGGTTGTTTTGACAACATCAGAGAGATGACATCGTGTGTTGTTATAAAACCCTAGTTGTAAACCATTAAAGAGAAATGAAAATGGTAATGTTTGGGGAATGAGATATTGAGTACAGACGATTGATTTGAGAATATAGAGAGAAAATAAGAAATATAGTTTTATTTTTAATAAATAAAAATTTGAACTAAAAGAAATTACATTTTAAAATAAAATTCATAAAATATTTAAGACGTGTATTCAATTTTGTTTTAATTATTTTTTAATCAGAAACATCTTTTGCGTGTCCGATACATATTAGAGGAGTATCTGATGCGTGTTGTGTTTAATATGTGACGTGACATTGCATACCTCTTTCAGGAGAAGTGTCGGTGCATCATAGTTCTTCATGGTTTGATTTTTTTTTTAAACCCCATAAAAAGATATTTCATTAAAATAAAAGAGGGGAACAAAAAAGTACAAACAGGAAAAAAAATCTACTAAGCCTCCTCCCTAATACAAAAGAGAAGACAGATAAAGAAATTTAAAGAAAAAACAACCAAAAAAAGAAAAGAGCAAAGAGAAAAAAAACCCCTCTTTTGAAAAAGAGAGATCCCCCATGGTATTGTAGAAGACAATATACCCAAGAAGACCTCAATAATGATCATTTGAGAGGCTCAAATCCTTGTCCAAGATCTCATCAGTTGCTTTTTTCCTCTTACGAGGGGCAATGGTGATAGGCCCCAGCTGCTGCAGTTCCTTCCGAAAGACTCTAGGTTTTTCTTTGAGAGGTTCAATACTTCAATCTGCTGTTGAGATTTTTGAGCAGTAAAGACAATAGGCTATGGGTTGGAATTTGGAATGGGGCTCCTCATTTCATGACCATTAGAAGGGTTTACGGGAAGATGGCTTTTCTGCTTTGGCATTCACCTTCTAGTGACGATATTCCAAGATCCCAATTGGCCTGAAGGTTGGGAAGATGTAGAATCAAAAGGCTGAGTATGCATAGGAGAAACAAGATTATGTAAATCCAAAGCAGAAGATTGAAGAGTGTTGTCAACAGGCCGCAGCTTAGTCTTGTAAGGGCAAGCCTCCATTTTATGACCAATAATTCCACAATGGAAATAAAGATGAGAGAGTTTCTGTGTAAGATCAATACAGACACACACTCTAGCAAAAGAACTTTGACCCCAAGCGGATGATTGCTCATCCATCCAAAGAGGTTCTCCAATCATAGCAGCCATATGAGCAATATTGGAAGGATCCCAATACAATACATTAGAGGAAGCCAAGGAAACTGGACCCAAATAGGCGAGCGAACCCCTTCATATCCTCAAGAGAAAAGGAACATGACCACCGATCAAGGCCAATTATGCTTCCGGCCACAATCCAAGGACCACCCCTAAGGATGATTATTATATCACGAGCTTCGGTGCTTTGAAAAATACAAATAAAGCAATTTGGAGCAATGATGATTAATTGAAACTCCCCAACATGAGACAATTGCCTTGATAGTTCACCTTGGAGCCAAGCAAAGGAGATCCGCTTTCCAGGAAGTTTCCCAACTAGAGCACATTCCAATTTAGAGATATTCTCTCGAACTTTGTCAAGGTTAAGGCTCAAGGAAATACTATCCTCATCAAACACCTCGTCTGTGGATCTTGTCTAAAGGAGTGTAAGAAGGCTTCCTCCAAGCAAAATGACTTGGACTTTGATCACCAAACTCCCTAGACTGTTTTGGTGAATTCTGTTTGCTGGAAAGGGGTTGAAATTCTGCACCAATTGCTTCCAAGTTAAGAGGACTAGGCGTAGAAGCATTAACACAAATAGTTGGAATGTAATTTTCAGTTACTAGAGGATATTGAGCTGCAACAATGGGGGATTTTACCCTATAGGAATCCAACGTCTTTCCAAACTATTCACACATTTTAAACCAGAATCTACCATACGATCATACACTGAAATATCATTCACGACATCCACACACGGGATGTTCGAATCAAGGAAACCAACCTGATGTAAGCTATCCGACAGAAGCTCACGGACAGGAGAAAAGCTCCGAACAGACCACAGTGACGGCTCACGAGGTAAGCCAAGGCAATCCGACTCCATGAGCTCCGACCTAATCACTTGGACGGAAGAATCCAGGTCCTGACGAATGCTAGAAAAGTTTTGATCGGACCCCATATCTGGCTCGCGGAAATAGTTATCATCCAACGAAAGCTGCTTGTGATCAGAGAGCAGCTGAAAGCTTGGAATCAGCATCATGGGCGACCATCAAAACCTGCTTGCAAGCCTCAAAACCTTTGCCTTCCTAAACCTTCCAATAGTTGCCTTCCTTAGAAGCCTTCCTACCATCACTACCCCCACCGGAGTGGAGAGAAGACCATCTACTGTTCCTACCAGCCATCGTTGCTATCGGGAAGAAGAGGCGCAGTCATGGTGGCATGACACTTCATGTGACAACTTCATTGTTGAAATGACGAATCATAAGGCTTGATGTTTATTTATTAATTTTGAAATTACTGAAGCCTGTATTGTTAAGCGGCCTAATATTTTTCTTTTAATTAGTAAAGAATTGTTGGATCTTGTACATTTGACCGAACCTTACTAGTTTAATGAGTTGTGATTACCTGTATGGTAACCACATTACTTCAAATAGACATCTAGTGATTACTAAGAAGTTTCTCCTAACTACAATCATTCATATTAATATATTATTGCGCCATCCTTACTCATGCATTTCGTCAACAGGCCTTTCTATGTGCTGGTATTCATCACCTCTGTAACACTTTTCCTGATAAAGAGGGGAAACTGCTCGAGTTTTTGCAGGTTTGTTTTCTAGTTCTCCATCTGTGCTCTGCACTCCACTTTGGCCCAACTATGTTTTGGTGTTGTTTTACTATTGTCTAACTCGTTACTCTTTTTTATGTCAATTTTTTCTCAAAGAACAAATTAATATATGTTTAATATTTATTTGATCTTCGTTTAACGTTAGATTTACAGCAATTTGACTGTTAAGTTTAGGTTGCTGTCTCAAACCTCTAATTAGAACATCATAGCACTTTGTCTTGGATTGAATGGTCCCTTGTGGACTTGCTCCTTCCTTTTTAAATCTAGGCGACAGGGGCGGAACCAGCTTCAATTTTGAGGGGGGGCAATACAATATAAAAATAATTAAAATAGTTTTTTAGGGGGGGCAAAAGTAATTTTTTAGGAGGGGCAAAAAAATTTTCTCTATATATAAAAAAAAATTTCTCTTATAAAAAAACAAAAAAAAAAAAAATTTGAGGGGGGGCAATTGCCCCCCCTAAGCACAACATGGTTCCGCCTCTGCTAGGCGATAATGTGAGTTTTGTTTTCAAAATTTGCAGTATACTCTGTTGTTTTTCTCAATAATCCAACTTTTTTGATGTGTAATTGATTGTGTTCATGAATGAAATAACATAGCACTAATTTTATGAATCTTAATGGATAGTTAGATCACTACAAGATTCTCAGTAAATTTAATCTCAATGCCTGCCTGTTTAGTGTGCTAGTAGTTTATCAGGAGCTAAAGAGTCAATTTTTGTTCTTTTGATTTTGTGTAAATTTAGCCTCTTCCCTTGCAGATCAAGACTAGATACTCGTTTGTTTGTTAAGGTGTTTTCCCCTTCTATTTCTTTCATGCATGGTAGTTTAAGAAGCTTGAATCTGAAAACTTATATAACTTGTTGGACGGATAAAAAAATTATGTAGCAAAAATTGTTATGCTATTGTCAACACATTGAACTTGTATATTGGACTTGTGCAGTATGGGTGACTTATTCCTAATCAGCTAATGATTGTTAGACACTAACCATGACTCTTCCATAAGGCAGTCCATGCTATGATGAACACTTAATGCTTCATTGTTGGTTTATACTCGGTCAAAAATTCCTAAATTTAAAATATTTGAGTCTTTGTAGTCATCAAAGATGTTGGCAGTGATAAGGATGGTTGATGTTTTGAAGCGCTGCTGCATTTAACATTTTTTTTTGAGTGATTCATTCTTTTAAAGAGAAACAGATTTTTACTTTCTCATTTGAAATATAGTTTCAAATGGAAAGTAAAATTCATTTATATTAAAGAGCCACCTATAAAAATAGAGGAATATGTTAGGCCGGCCCAGGAGGGGTTGGCTGGACCGGTCCAACCAGGACCGGTCCAAGTTTATTCCAGGCGAAGGCCTGGCTGGGTGGAAAAAACAAGAGGGGCGGAAGCCCCTGTGGGCCCCACTTGGGGTTAAATCGATTTTGAGAGGGAAATTTTTGAATGAAGGGCTGTTTGAGGTATTTTGTAATTTTCCTTTGTCTTTAATTAGGAGTTATGGTGAGAGTTTGGCTCTCATCTTGAATTTGAATTTTATTTGAGATATAGGGTTTGTTCTTGGCTCTTGGCATTGCCGGAGATTGTGGAGAGTTTTTCCTTCCTCTCGAATTGAAGGAAAATTGTATCTTGCAAGTGCTTTTCATCTATAAGTGGAATATAAGTGTTTGCTTTGATTTCCTGCGGATATCTCTCAATTTTCTCTCAGATTTCTTACTGTTTTGGGTTGTTTTCTGCTGTGGACAGCAGTTGTCTTTGTTTAGATACTTGATTTGGGTTAGGTTTACTTGTGCATACAAGTATTTCCTATCAAATTGGTATCAAAGCATCGATTGGGGACCTTAGGCGGCTGAAATCCCTATTTTTTAGCGAGCTTTCGGCTTCCGGAAGGTGTTTTTTTTTTTTAGATCCGTTGGGAAGAACGATGGTCGGAAAGAAGGTTCAAGTCTTGGAAGGCGAAGTCGGACAATTGAAATCCGATTTCGAGGGAAGATTCTTTGACTTTCAAAATCAAATCACGTACAACATTGAAAGGTTGGAGGGGAAGTTCACCGTGATGGAAGAAATGATGAAGAAATTACTTGAAATGAAGACCAATCCGGCGGCATCGGAAGTAAGAGAGACAACCAACGGCCATGGCATGGGAGGAAATCCGAACCCTTTGCGGGGGAGGAGAAATTTGGAGGTGGAGATCCTAGAGGGAGAGAACGGTGGAGATCCTATAACTTATTTCAGCCAGGTGCTATCGAATAGGGCACGGTTGAAGTCAGTGTACGAGAGAGAACTGATGGCCATCGTCTTTGCCATTCAGAAGTGGCGCCCTTACCTGTTGGGTAGACATTTCATTGTTCGTAGGGTCAGCGGAGCCTGAAATTCTTGCTGGAGCAAAGGATGGTGACTGAGGAACAGCAGAGGTGGTTATCAAAACTGTTGAGCTACGATTTTGAGATTCAGTATCGACCAGGGGTGAAAAACAAGGCGGCTGACGCCTTATCCAGGTGTGTGGGGGAGTTTTAGGAGTTGACAGTTTCAGTACCCCTGATGGTTGACTGGGGGCCATTAAGGAAGAAAGCTAGCGGGATAAAGAGTTGGGAAAGATCAGGGAAGACCTGAAGAAAGACAAGAGTAGCCATCCGGATTATTGTATTGAGGGAGAGAGACTATTATATCAAGGGAGGTTTGTGATGCCACGAACTTCCATAGATATCCCCCACTTGTTGCAGGAGTTCCATGGCAATGCTGTTGGAGGCCATTCAGGAGTTCAGAAGACGTATAGGAGGCTAGCAACGAAGCTCTATTGGAAGGTATGCATAAAGATGTGGATGAGCTGGTGGCAAGGTGTGAGGTGTGCCAAATAAATAAATACATGGTGATGACACCAGGAGGGCTACTCCAACCCTTGGAACTTCCAAACAGAGTTTGAGAGGAAGTGTCCATGGATTTCATTGACGGCCTACCTCACTCAGAGGGATTCACAATCATTTTGGTAGTGGTGGACCGCCTCAGTAAGTATGCACATTTCGTCCTTCTGCAACACCCGTACACCGTGGTCTCAGTGGAAGCAACATTTATTAGAGAGGTGGTGAGATTACACGGATTCCCTTGTTCAATTGTGTCAGATAGAGACAGTGTTCCTTAGTTAGTTTTGGAAGGAACTCTTCAGAATGCAGGGCACTGCTCTCAAGAGGAGTACCGCCTACCATCCACAGACAGACGGATAGACAGAGGTGGTAAATCGGAATTTGGAGACCTATTTGTGGTGTTTTGCTTCGGAAACACCACGTAAGTGGGCAAAATGGTTACCATGGGTAGAGTATTGATATAATATTTCGTATCATTCTGCATCCCAAATGACCCCTTTTAAGGTACTCTATGGAAGAGACCCCCCATATTTAGTGCATTATGGGTGGGGAAACATGCTGATCTTTTCAGTTGAGCAGTATCTAGAGGAAAGAGACCAGATGTTGGAGGAGTTAAAGAAACATCTAGGAAGTGCACAATAAATTATGAAGAAGCGAGCCGATACACACAAGAGAGATATACAATATGAAGTGGGGGAGGTGTTCTTGAAGCTAAGACCCTACAGGCAGAAATCAGTAGCTAACAGAACAAATGAAAAGCTGGCACCGAGGTATTTTGGTCCCTATGAAGTCTTGGGGAAGATTGGAGTAGTGGCGTATCGTCTGAAGTTACCCTCCTTCGCTACTATACACCCGGTGTTCCATGTATCACAGCTGAGGAGAGCACTAGGGGAACAGGTAGCTATTGAACTACCAGCATCTTTGACAGAGGATTTGGAGGTGGTCATGGAACCCATGCAGCTGGAAGGGGTGAGGTTTGATAAAAAGGGAAACAAGGAGGTGTTGAATAAATGAAAGGATCTTCCCAAATACGAAGCCACCTGGGAGCCATATGAAATTGTGAAGCAACAGTTCCCCGACTTTTACCTTGAGGACAATGTGAGTTTTTGGGAGGGGAGTACTGTTAGGCCGGCCCAGGAGGGGCCAGCTGGATCGGTCCAACCAGGACCGGTCCAAGTTTATTCCAGGCGGAGGCCTGGCTGGGCGGAAAAAACAAGAGGGGTGGAAGCCCCTGTGGGCCCCACTTGGGGTTAAATCGATTTTGAGAGGGAAATTTTTGAATGAAGGGCTGTTTTAGGTATTTTGTAATTTTCCTTTGTCTTTAATTAGGATTTATGGTGAGAGTTTGGCTCTCATCTTGAATTTGAATTTTATTTGAGATCTAGGGTTTGTTCTTGGCTCTTGGCATTGCTGGAGATAGTGGAGAGTTTTTCCTTCCTTTCGAATTGAAGGAAAATTGTATCTTGCAAGCGCTTTTCATCTATTAGTGGAATATAAGTGTTTGCTTTGATTTCCTTTGGATATCTCTCAATTTTCTCTCAGATTTCTCACTGTTTTGGGCTGTTTTCTGCTGTGGACAGCAGTTGTCTTTGTTTAGATACTTGATTTGGGTTAGGTTTACTTGTGCATACAAGTATTTCCTATCAGGATATTTATAGAAAGCTATCTGTAATTGGGGTTTTTTAATGAGAAAAGACGATATTTTATTTTGTAAACAAGGATATCTGACTCACGTTATGCCCATAATTTCTCAAAAACTTGTTAGCACTTCTACCAGAATTTCGTCTGATACCATAATTATATTATTAGGATTTATAACCCAACCTGATAAAAAACCATACCAAGTTTCATAACAAACCTTAGTAACAGTACTACGGTATCATAACATGAGTTTAAAAGATTTTGACATAAGATTCGGGCTAATTGTCTTCGTTTGAAAAATATTGTAAATTACTGTCCTTGTTTACTAAGTTTTAAAATTGTTTTCCTTTCATAGAAGGCCAAACTATAGGGAGTTGTAAACAAATCACCCATACAAATTTTACTTAACCTGAGACTTTGCCTAAATATATTTATTCATGATTGCTACTGTTTTTGCAAGAACTGAAGCCTGTTTTCTAAACTTCCATTGTCTGTTTATTATTCTAAAATATCATGGTTAGAACACTATGTTTGTAGAGATCTACTCACAAGCAAAAAAAAAAAAAAAAAAAAAAAAAAAAAAAAAAAAAAAAAAAAAAAAAAAAAAAAAAAAAAAAAGAAAAAAAAAAAGAAAAAAAAGAAGAAAAGATAATTGACCAAGGATATTTACACATTGATAAAATGAGGGAAGTAACGAGAAGTAATACTTTATAACTTATTGTTCTCCATCAGTGACGTAGCTCTTTTTTAGCAGCAACTTTCCACTATTTTGTTGGTGGTTGATCAATACAATTGCTTGGCTTGTGGAAATCATTTTTAGTAACTAAACACCGAAATATTCATAATCACAGCCTTGAACAGGTTCGTCAAGCATGAATGAAATTCCCATGACGAAGATTCCAACGTCATCTCCATATAGGATCATCTTATGCTTAAAATCAAAGTTGCTATGATGTAATCAATAAACTATTCAGTGCCTCGATACACCAATAGAAAATGGTTGAATCCACCAAGATAGACTTCTAAACTTCACATCTAGTACAAGCCAACGAAATCCTTAGTTAATTTATGTCAAAATGCTTCATAATCAGCTGGGTCTGTTTATACAGTTCCTTTCAGACTGGAGTAGAAGAAATAAAAGAAGAATGTGAACATCTATTCCATGAAATTCAGGAGAAACATGGCTATGCACCTCCAATGACTTGAATAAACTAGTGAATACTGCATTGGAATTCTTTTTAGCAGTAAAACTGTTATTGATTCATGATTATCCTTACGTAGGATTATTAGTGCTTTTTTTGTCTTATGCTATTGGATGGAGCTATAAATTTAAATTGTATCATATCCTGTTTTCTGGCTTGATGTCCTACAATTTAGTTGATTGTTAGTTATGCCAAGTTTTCATCATGAGGATGACAGTTTCCCCTATACCAGCAGCTTTTGGAACGGTGTATTCAGTCATTTCTAGTGTCAATATCGTTTATGTTTGTTTTATCCCTGCATTTTCTCTTTTAGAAGCGCTTTCATCCTGTTGCTAACTTTAAGCTTCTGTTTATCCTGTTTAACACCAACACAATGCAGGAAGGTCCAAAGCTGATCAGTAACATGCGTGGTTGCATAGGATCCGCAGAATCTGCAAATTCAAAGGTTTATTTTCCTGGAATATCTTTGCTTTCAGCACATGTATTTTAGTATAAGTTGGTGTATCTTGAAACTTTGTTATATACTGTTATATTATGGTGGTTTCTGTTATGTGACAGTCTATTTCTTACCTTTATTAGGGCCTGAAACACATTGTACAAGCTCTGGAATCAGGAAATCTTGACAACGCCAATTTGGAAGGATTATTGCCAAATGATACATATTCATTGGAGGCTGGGAAGGGTTTATCAAGGTTTGAACTTACCTCGTAGTTATAGCTTTACAGTTTCCAGCGTCCATCCTCATGTACGGACTTCGTTATTGCTGAGCAAATAATTAATTGTACTCAAATCATTGTTTTCCAGGACTGCTTCGATCAACTGCTGATTTCTTTGTTCAGTTAAATTTCTGGTATGAAGCCAAACTAAAAGTAAAAAAGGATTGTTATATAGTCGAGCAAGGACTTCTACTCTCCCGAATAAAAGACATGGACCGAGAATGCCCCAAACTATAACTATGTATGGCTTTGTAACTAAGTTCATTTTGTTGTTTGAGGATATATATATATATATATACTCGTATATATATACTCGTATTTCCTCGTCCCCAAAAATAGTATAGTTTCTACAGATTACGAACGCGAGCATGCTGGCCATGGTATCATGCACTCCTGCCATCCTTATAAAATTAGGCCTTTATCCTTATGCATGTTGTGGAACTGAACTATCTCTTCTATTTTTCTCTTCATTTTAAATCTCTTGAGATATCAGTTTGCTATCTTGTATTGTTTTACTGTTCTTCTATCGTTCTCGGGTGTCGGCTGGTGTTGCATTCCAACGTATCTGCTCCATTGCTGTTTTCTGACCGGGATTCCTATGGCTGTTAAGTTTAAGAAAAACCAAGGTATCAAAGAGAAATATAAGAGGCGAGATTGCATTGTTAGGTTATAATTATGACGTGCAGATTCAAATCTAGCTCCGGTTTGTTTGATATATAGAATAATGAAATTTTTGTTTCTGAAATGATAATATTTGCTTATATTAACCACTATACATCTGGTGTTAATTAATGAGATTTGCAGAAAGTTTCGTAATTGTTGAAGCCTTAGAATGAAGCATGTCAACGGGAAGTGATGGCAAAACTTAGCCACAGATTTGGTCCAAATCATGTTTGGCTAAGCGAACTAGCAATAATGCATTTCGATTTGATCATACTGTACGTGGATGAATTGAACTCAACCAAGTGTAGCCTGTTGTCCTGGTGCACTTTTTTTGCTTTAACAAACTGGTTATGCAGGTTGGTTTCACGGGCCGATTAGGATATGACTTGATAAATGACAAGTTGGGTTTGATAAGCAAGTGAGTTGTGTCAGGTAGTTCGACACATCTTGTCAATTCATGAGTTGGTGATTTTAAAATATATTAGAAGTTATAGGATGAAATATAGTGGAACTAAAAATATTAAAAAAATAATTTTCTTTATTTTAATTTTAATTTTAACATTAGCATTATTAGGTTTGAAGGCCTAGATAAGAGAAGTGGAGAGTTGTGTTATGTAGTTGATAATACTCATAAAATTTGAAGAAAAATATTAACATAAATTTTTTAGTATATTGTGTTAATGTTAGGGCATATTTTGGAAATGATGCACAATATAGTTTGAATATAATAAGAAGTGTGTAAGAGACATTGCATTGGTGCTCGGGTTTAAATAGGTAAGGGTTCTCAAATAATGTTAGTAGAGAGATAAAGGGTTTAAAAATATTTTATGATGGTTATAGGTTTGGAGGATTAATGAAGGAGGTAAGATTATATTAGGTTTTGCTCTAGTTTATGATTTTGTAATTATTAGTGGAACTAAAAATATTTAAAAAATAATTCTTTTTTTATTATAATTTTAACATTGTCATTACTAGGTTTCATGTCCTAGATAAGAAAAGTGGAGGGTTGTAGTCGATAATTCTCATAAAACTTGATGAAAAATATTAATATGAATATTTTAGTATATTGTGTTAATGTTAGGGTGTTTTTTAAAAGTGATGCACTTTAAGGTCTAAATACAACGAGAAGTGTGTAAGAGATGTTGCATTGATGCATCGGTGTAGTGTTAAATAGGTAAGGATTCCCACACCATTTTAGTAGAGAGGTAGAGGATTTAAAAAAATATTTTATGATGGTTATGGGTTTTGAGCGATTAATGAAGGTGGTAAGACTATATTAGGTTTTGCTCTAGCTTATGATTTTGTAATTATTAATACCTTATTTATAAAAAGAGATGAATATTTCGTCATTTATAAGAATGGATATAATAAAATTGAAATTGATTATTTTCTTATAAGAAAAAATAGATTATTTAAGATTGTAAAGTTTGGAGTGAAAGTTTATGTACTCAACATCGTTTATTAGTTTTAGGCTTTAAGATGGAGGGACAATATGAAAAATATAGTAAAATGTTATTCTAAGATTAGATGGGGGTGTTTAAAGAATATTAATAAAAATATTTTCAAAGTAAAATTTGATATATTTAGATTTTTTTATATGCATTAAGAAACAAATATTATGCGAGAAAAAATAGCTAGTAATATTAAGAAATGTTGCAAATGATGTGCTTGAAGTTTGAAAAGGAAAAAAACTTATAATAATAAAATAGTCAGTGGTGGATTCAAAATGTATAAGAAAAGATAAAAAATATAAATGTTTATTATACTAATTGATTTAGAAGTAAAAATTCTAAAATTTGGAAAATATATAAAGCTGCTCGTAAGGTGTCTAAGAAAGCAGTCTGCTATGCAAAGATTCTAGTTTTTAATTATTTATATAATATATTATATTCTAATGATGGTGAATTATATATATAGAAGTTAGTCAATAAAGGAGATAACAGTAATAAAAAATTTATTTCAATTGAACTGCATTAATGATGATGATTAAAAAGTGGTTTTTTTAGAAGGTATTTCACACATGTGGATGAGATATTTTAATAAGCTTTTCAATGATGATTATAAGAATACGATTAATTTTAGCGACCATTGCAATCTAAATGAAAATATATATTTTTAATTTTTTTCAAGTGTATTAGTATAATTGAAGGAATTTTTGGCTTACTAAAAATTTTAATATTATCTTGAAGACAAAAGATGTCATATGAGTGGGGAATGAGTGTTTAGATTCTTATTTTTAAGAATAAAGGCGATGTGCGAATTATAGAGCAATTAAGTTGATGTGTAATACTTTAAAACTTTGGGAGAGAGTTATGGAGCATAAGTTACGACGTGACATTAATGGTTAACAAAATCAAATTGGATTCATGCCGGGTAGGTCTACTATGGAAGCTATTCATTTATTGAGAGGGTTGATGGAGAAGTTTAGAGAGAATAAGAAGGATCTACATATGATATTTATTGATTTAGAGAAAGCATATGATAAAGTTCCAAGGGAGTGCTATAGAGAGTTTTAGAAAAGAAAGAGAAAAATAATGCTTATATTTAAGTCATTACGAATATGTATGGAGAAAATGTTACTTGTGTTCATACACGAGATGGTTTGACCAAGTATTTTCTTATTTTAGTTGGATTACATCAAGGATCAACCTTAAGCCCTTATCTTTCTTGCTTTAGTCATAGATGTTCTTACTAGACATTTGCAAGAGGATGTACAATGGTGTATGCTTTTTGCTAGTGATATTCTTCTTGTTGATAAGACTAGAGGGAGTTAAACTCAAATCATGGAGGTTAACTTTAAAGCCCAAAGACTAGCGTTATAGTAGATCTAAAAAAAAAAGAAAAAAAAATTGAATACATGTATTATAATTTTAGTAATAGATCTAGTGGGTGGTTTGTGACTTGGAGCGATTAAGTCATTAATAAGTTTACTTGTTTTGGATATCTAGGGTCTATCATTTAGAGTGATTGTGAAATAGATGAGGATATTATCAATAGAATTCAAGTTGGATGGTTGAAGTGGAGGAATGCTTCAAGTTTGTTGTGTGATAGAAAAGTACCACGCAAACTTAAGGGAAAATTTTATAAGATGGTGGTGAGACATGCAATGCTTTATGTCACAGAATGTTGACCATTAGAAGAGAAGCATAATATTAAGTTGTGTTGCTGAGATGAGGATGCTCAAGTTGATGAGCGGATTTACTCTTAGAGAAAAGATACAAAACGAGCATCTTCGTGAAAAGGTTGGAGTAGCTTTAGTGACAAATAAGATTAGAGAGTCTTCTTAGTTGGTTTGGTCATATAAAACATCGGTTTTTTGATGACCCTATTAGGACAGTAGATGTATTAGATTTGGTCTATATTAATAAAGGTAGAGGTAGACCTGAAAAGACTTGCTTTAAAAATATTAGAAATGACATTTCTGTATTAGATTTAAATGATAATTTGACTCTTAACAAGACACAATGGAGAAAAAAAGATTCATGTAGCCGACCCTATGTAGTGGGATAAAGGCTTGAAGTTATTGTTGTTGTTGTCGTTGTGTCTTTATTTTAATTTTGAATTTTTATTATTTGATTACAAGGATTGAATATGAAGAATTATGCTAGAGCTCAGTTTTTTTGACATTTTATTAATTTTTAAAACTGTTTTTTAATAAAAAATTTTGAATTAAAAAACTTTATATTAAAAATTTAATTTTGAAAGTAGTAAGAAAGCCATTCCAAATGAAGCCTAAACTAAAGCTCAAATTTGATTAATTAGTTAAGGCTTGGTTAGCTTATTTTTCTCACTTGGGAAATTAATGGTGAATGTTTTGATTAGTCAAAAACAAGGATTAGATCTTACGTGGTGCAGCCAAAATGTTGCACATCACCAAGCCAAAATGAGTTGTTGAGAGGCTATTTGCTCACTTGATCCATTATATTATTTCTTCCAATTCTGGATTATATGATTAATACGATTTGATTGTGTTGTCTTGCCAAACGTTGCAGTCTCTATAGCTAAAGGAGTAATGTAGTAAAGAGTTTTTTTTTTCTTAATAGATCTTGAGAATTAGGCCTATCGTTTTTGGTTTCGAGAATTATTATTTTAATTGTGTAAGCTACACAAACAAATTCATGAAATAAAGAAAAATATAAAACACATTATTATTAGGAGAAGGTTCATTTTGATTTTTTTGATCAAATTTATTCGTAAATTCACACATATTACATATGCAAATCCTTCAATTTAAAAAATCTTGATTGAAAATTAATAATCAATAGGTAAAAGTTGGCTGCATTTCAATTGGAGAAAAAATTTAGTCTAATCTCTGAATGCCGTAAATAATTTTATGGAGAGTTGTTTGGATGCTATATATTTAGAAGATCAAGGGTAATATATTATAGCTCAATATGAGATACATTATTTCGTGTCTAGTGAGAGAAAATCTAAGATTCCTAGTGTGAGAAAGTTGTTTTCTTTTGAAATTTCATTTCACAGGGTTTTCCCTGGTCGGAGCTCCATGGCAGTGCCTGACTGCTGGCTATCTCCTGCCGGTGGATCATCCATTGCTCCTCCTACTAAAAAAGTTTAAGTTCTTCATCAAATCCGTTTGGTGCTAGAGGAAAGATGTCAAGTAAGGAAGAGGTCAGTCACAATATTAGAAGATATCAAAATCCCATTGGTAATCAGAGATGGATTCCATCCTCCTGCTCATCAGGATGCTATAGTTGAAGGTAAAGTCAAGAAAGATGTGTCGTTCTAGGATCAGTTTGATGCAAAAGAT